TATATGTGTAAGTAACCGTAAGTGTTATATAGAGATGAAGTGCCATATTTTATTTTAACTGTACCTGATTGGGAATTTCATAGTGAGGAGCTGGTAAGTACATCTTCTGAAAGTGTTTACCAATCCATAAAAGTTTTCAAACTTTGGTTAGCACACGATGTGGTTTGGTAAGCATTTTTATTTGGATATACAAACATGATATAGAGGCAAATAAATTATCATTTTTATTTACTGATTTATTTGCATCTTAATCTATTTCATTACAAGACACAGCATTATTTAACTCTACTTCTCGTCACATTTAATGTAGGGTCACCTAGAAAACACCACAATTTGAGATTTTAATTTTGACCTACCCATTGCCACCTCAGAACTTCAGAAGATGTATATTAATGAAGTTTTTGATCCATATCAAGAAATATATGGCAAGAATGCTACATTTAAACATCTCAAGTGCAATAAAAACTGAGAAAGCCAAAGGACTAGGATGTAAACATCTCGTGTATTATTTGCAAACTTTTGGACAGTAATTGTTAGATCACTAAGTGTGGAATAAGATGAAATTGTTCACCAAGACATTTCTTCCACCTGGAAAAAATAATTTCATTTGCAGGAACATGTTTTGATACAAACTGTTTCAAGCATTCCCACTCATGCATCACAGCCTGCTGGGGTGGCTTACTTGACTATTGGCTTCCCTCCTCTGAATTGTGACCATCAGATTCACTGGAGAATAAACATTCAGAGTAGTGAGTAATTAGATTCTTAAGCTCATCTTTGCCATAGTTTGACAAGTTGTTAGATCCTGTTGGTCAGAACTTTGGATCTAAAATATCAAAATCTTTAATTACATGCTTGCATACACCTGACAAAAATCTATCTTCTTTAATACAATTCTACATCAGCTGTGGTTCCTTTAACTTGAACACCTTTGTAGGTGTATTCTCCTGTTTCCTCTTCAAATACAAGATGTTCCTTCATTTTCCTAACATAATGTCCATCTTGTGTGTCTCATTCATGGTGTCAGCAAATGATATAACTGGAAAGAAGTTGATAAGTTTATAATTTTTAGTGAAAAATCCTTCATATTTAAGAAATATAGAAAATAAACTGATTTAATCGTTTTTAAATGTCCCTTAGCAACAGAAGCTTCATCTGGGTTTAATCTAGATGCAATATGTTTGAGATAATGAATTGTGGTTTTACAGTTTTTACTTATAGCTTTCATAGTCCTGTGCTTACTAGCAATCCATTGAATGGCATTTCACTTCCCATGTGTTCCAGTCACTTCATTCAACAAATCAGCAATCTCCTCCATTTCTTGCAAATGTTTGGAAGAGTTTAAATAAAAATTAAGTATTCCCTGTTTTGTGGTTTGAAACCCTGTTACATGCTTCATCCCATTACATGCATCAAAATACTAAGCTGTAATCTGTGTGTCACACAGTGAATCCCTAGAAGATGTATCACATATTTTTGAAGGAAGGTTAATATGCCACCCTTTGAACCAAAGTTGACACTTGCATCGTCTGACCCAAATCTAACAAATGTTTTCTGCCATGCCTGGATCCCAATCTATCCTATATAAAAGCCAGTGTGTGTGTGTGTGTGTGTCTTGTCATGCTTGATTTCTCAAAATAGGAGAAGTCATAAAAGCCAAAATGCATTTATCCAGATAAAATAGGTCGATTGCTGTCTGCCCATTATGATTTTAGTGACAGGAGTGCAAGGGTCCTGTGAGGGGGAGAGGTGCCATGAAACCTTATAAGTTTATTGAGTGGTAGCCTAAAGTGAAGATGTAGGGTGGGATCACCTAGCATAGAGCCAAGTGCATAAAATTTATATTGAAAAGTAAATATATCGATTCAATTTTAAACTTAATTGTTTCTGAATTAAGTTATTTTCTGTTATATCACCAATATTTTAAATAAAAAACAAAACTCTTTAGGCAACGGAGACTTTTTTTAAGTTATGAAATAATCTTCTACTCTCATCTTATAAATGCATATTAGAAGTTGTTAATCAAACTTATTTTTACCAATAATACAGGCCTGTGAATTTAAACTTCTTAAAGGTGGTTTTGATAACAGATTTCCAATAATTCAGCTATGCAGATTTTGAAAATAATATTCATTTTTTTCTATCATGTAAGGATTTTTTACAAATTGAGAAGAATGGAAAAAAAACTTACTTGGATCAAATTATTATTTTGTT